GGAAACCGGTCACTAGTGCACTTGTTAATTAGTGTTGGTTTTGCCCGTGACTGCAGTTTGCTTTGTTTCTGAAGCCCTAAACGGAGCGCCCAACCAGGCGTGCGGTTTCCGACACCCTCGCTGCGGGGAAACGTCTTGTTTTTCCTCCTTTTTGAGGAACCTAAAGGACGTTACTTTTCCACCTGCGGAACTGTAAGACCCGGGCGAGAGCTGATGTGTTTTGGGGGTGCGGGGTTTGTCCGCGCTGGGCGGCCGCGTCTCGTCTCTCTTTGCCTGCTGGCGTGTACCCCCGTTTCTTCGGCGAGTGTCGGGGAGCTTCCTAGATCTCACGGGGGACAGAAACATCCGGGGAGTGAATATGGAGTGAGGGTTTGGATTATCCCGCTTGGTGAAGGGGGAACACGTTCACAGCGCATCTCCTAGCACTGCCGTCAAGCTCTCTTCGTGCCGTAACGCGGTATCCCAAACATTGGCACGACAGTGTCGTAACCACCCAGCTCGCATAGCTGTGCTGATCTGACAGACCCGGGGTCACAGGTCACAGGGACTTGAACCCCACTCAGAGAGGGGAGACTGGGTGTCACAGGTCACAGACTTGAACCCAACTCAGAGAGGGGAGATAGGGGTCACAGGGACTTGAACCCCACTCAGAGAGGGGAGACTGGGGTCAGAGGTCACAGGGACTTGAACCCCACTCAGAGAGATGAGGTGTTGTTCAGTACTGGAGGCTGATTCAGTCGTGATGGTGGGGAGGAGCAGCTGTGTGTGTGTGGGACCTGTCCTGGTTCTCCTCTCCATCTTCAGGTAATAACTGTTCACAGTGAGCCGTTTCTCTGATATGCTGTGTGTGTGTTCTTTGTGACCGATGTTCTCTGTAACCTTCCGCTTCAGTGTTACTGTTCTTTTCTTCTGTCAGCATTGCGTCTCAGTTCTGTTGTACAGATATCACTAAGAAGTGCTGTTATTGCTCTCACCTGAAGAAGCTCCACAGCCGAGACATTGTTTTCTTTCTTCTCTTTTCAGCAAGAATAAACCCGTAACCTGTTCCTTGTTATAAAGTGTGTTATTACCCAGGACGCAGTGTGCTGTGTCACTGTCGATCAGTCCTGCTGTCCTCACTGATTATATGTAAATAATAATTTAATTTACTTAATTATTCCATTGTAGGAAACTTTAAGTGTTGATAGTTATAACCTGATCATTGTAAATCAGTGGCCAGTGAGTGTTTTACACAGAGGGGGGTGGGGGTGGGGAACAAGCTGGATGAGCTCCTCAGGTTGAGCTGATCGAGAGAGGGGGGCAGGGGGGGTGTCTGCAGGAGGTGAAGGAACAGGCCACAGCCGCAGGTGTGAGGAAGAGCTTTATTGTACAGCAGTGATACAGGTGTGGTGACACAGACAGCACAGCTCGCTCAAACC